CAATTTGACCACGTTCGTGTAAAATTAGCAAAACTTTTCTCCAAAATTCTGAATGCTTTTCCATAAGTTCTGAATTTCCCAAAAGGTACATGCCATGTTTGGCACGTGACAATAGAACATTAGAACGATTCGTTGACTTCAAAAATCCAATATTTCCACGATTCACATTTCCGGCATTACGAACAAGCGACACAATCACTATATCGGCTTCTTCTCCTTGAAAATTGTCAACTGTACGAAGAACAACCTATTTAATTTAGAATATTAGAACTTTATAGTAATTAAAACAGACCACGTTTTAGTATCATAATATTAGCAATTACTTGTTGAGACAACTTCTTTTCTGAAGCAGTAGTGAAAGTTGTTTGCCCGCTATCTGTATTTTCATTCTTTTCATTTTCAGCATCCATGCTTTCCTCCATATTAGTAATCAATTGATCATCACGTTCGTCAATTATCACAACAAATGATTTTTGCAGTGCGTCTCTTATTTTAATTAGTTGTCCGAGATATGGAGTCAACACCGCAATTTGATTTGGTTTATTGTAGCCATTGCGAACGAAATACTAAATTAATAGTCAAAATATAAATATGTTACATAAGTTAGTTCTTAAGATATCTGTTAATGATAATCGTCAAGAATACAAACAATTAGTTACCTTAACAAGTTCTACTACCATTTCCACCTCAAAGGCGTTTGAATGTGAATTTATTGCAAAATCATTTTCTCCTGAATCTTCAGCATAACGATGATCCATAAAATAGACATTTTTCTGAGCACCGCGTACATCTGGGTAATTAACGATTTTTTCATCATCAATGAGTTTTTCATATAGTGTAAACCGAATTAAGTCAGAAACTTCTTTTCTCATTCTTCTTTGCGTGTGCAATTGCGATTTTTCTATACGCATTGTCTGATCACCATTAACAAGGCGCTCAAAAAGACTTTTGTCAAGAGCGTAATTTATTCCAGTTTTCGAATCACATGTTAAAGAGTACGTAGAGCAATGAGGACGAAGCTAAAAATATATATTATATATTAACTCACCGTAATCATATATGTATAAGAAAAATATTTTATACGTGCCTGATTGTGATCACCAATAAGAATCAAGTGTTGCGTCGCTGGTGTTAGTGCACTCAAGATATGTGCCTCCAAGACCTCACCTGCTTCCTCACAGATGATTATACGTGGTCCTAAATAATTCAATTTTAATTTAGAATCTAATTATGTTTATAAATTCAAATAATCATGATTAACATACCAATAGAACGAATTAAAGTTTGAAATTTGGCTGCTCCATTTGTTGTCATTCCTATTACATCACAGTTTCGAAGAATCTGACGACGGCCTTCATCATAAATCTCTTCAACTTCCTTTTTTTTCGCTTCATACATTTTTTGAATTTTGTCAAGCTCATCAAAAGATTCAGATTTAATATCCTCTTTCCAATGTTCATACAAAGTTACTCTTTCGGCATTAGACATTTGCCAAACGTTGGGATCATTTTTTAGATCTTCCACAGGTCGGTTACCGCTAGGTCTTGTCCAAGAAAGGAGCCAATTTTGTATGTAATCATCATATTCATTAGCATATTCATTAGAATCTTCATCGTCTTCATTAGATTGTTCTTCATCATCATCATAATTACTAAGAATTTCATATTTATTATCATCAACTTTTTTTTGTTGTTCTTCAGCTTTTTTATTTCTTAAATTATCAGCCCACATCTGTGCAGTATTCAAATCATCACAATCAATCCATTGACGAAATATAGATCGTTTTTTATTTTT